TGGAAAAATAGGCCTGGTACCAGGCCTCCATCATGAACAGGAGAGAAAATACCTTCTGAAAAAAAAAAACAGCCATTAAAATCAATAGTGTGAGCTCACTCCTTATAACGTAAAATTGTTTTTCAATAGGAACAAACTTGACATCATTTTATATATATATATATATATACACAGAGAGAGAGAGAGTTAAATTCTGCTTGTGTGTCCAGAATCTGTAATATACTGAATCTCAACTTTAAATATGGAGTGGCAATTCAGTTCTTTATTTTTCGTATGAATCAAAGCATCTCAGGACACTGACATTCTCATTTAAAAAATTTAATTTTTTAAAAGGAACTTCTACTGAAATGTAATGAGAATGGGTCTATTTGATTCGATTGAAATGTAAAGATCTGGAAGTTTTCTGATGGGGGAAAATAAAATGATAAATGACAAGGAAGCTACCCAGGGCCTAAACCAGCGCTGGGCTCATGAGGCCCAGCCAATAGGAATTTACTGAGCTGGGTGGTGGGTGGAAGGATGATGCTTTAAGAGGGGCTGAATCACTTAAGCTTAGCTTGGGAAGTTAGGATAATGCAAACCCATGTGCATCCCTCTCTTGGATAAATAGCTGTGTATTTGGCTCATGTGTGTGGGTGTTTACATACTTGTGTACAAATTCACACACATATATGACCATGGCTTTCTCTGTCCACTGAGGACTTGCATATTGATCATCAGAATTAGTGATAAAAGCACACCACTGCTTGAAAAGCAAATAATTGCCATAAGTTATGTGTCCCGCTGCAACATCATCTGTGCCTGCATTTTCAGTTCGTATTTCTGGAGCATCTGGTACTGACAGTTTGAGAAAATGAACCCGGGGGTGGTCAGGTCACACTATGGAAATGCCACAACAATCCAACCCAGGTACCTGACAACATGCTTTTTGTTTGAGCTGCTAGGTTGTGATGTGAAACTTAACTAGGTCAGCATCACTGAAATCGGTCTCTGTGAACATAGCTCTTAAATTATGGGATGGAATGCAGGTGAGAGCCTTCATTACAGAGAGTGGTCCTTAGTGGCGAAGGTAAAAAGCCGGAGTCTCCACCTTCTTCTTCCTGAGTCAGGCGTTAGTTATTCCAAACACCGTGTCTTTATGGAGTACCTGTTCTGCTGTGTCAGCAGTGCTTGGTGGCCTGACCCTGCGGTCTGAGATGCAGGATGGCAGAATGACTTTGAAATGTGATTACTTAGTGCCCTGGGTACTCTTGGTAAATTGGGAGCCCCTCCACCACACCCAGCACGTCTTGCATTCCAAGTTCCTGGCCCTAGAACCATGATTTAATAGGGTCTTTGTTCCAGGAGGACCCTGAAGTTTTATTAAGAACGTAATAACCTGCAGGCATAATGCTGAGTGTAATACAACCATTGTCCATTATGTCAAAAAGTTAGCGGTTAAGTCAGAGAATGATAAAACTGAGAGGCAGTAATCAGTTTGGGGTTGTTTAGGTAATAAATGAACAGAGGTTGAGGTACTAGCAATTTTATTTGTTTTCCAGGGTAGAATATCGCATTTTTATTAAATGGCCAGCAATTACATCTATAGCCCAGCAAGGTCTCGAGCACTTTTTGACATGTTGGAACACAGTAACATGAAGTATGTATTTCAAGGCTCTTCTTACTCTATGAGTTGCTTCTGGCTGGACGCTTGGAATTGGGGATTGAGCAGGTTCCAGGATGCGGCTGGAACAGGCGGCGTGAGCTGGGCACGGACTGAGTGAGAGTGGCGAGCTGTAGTGGTTAGCATCCTGCACTTGGAGCTGTGTGCTTAGAAAGGTCAAAAGCCTTGGCCCTCAGGAGTACCTTCCATCCGCATAGCTTTGTTCTGCAAAATGTTCCCAGAAACTGCAATGTAAGGATATTACAAAAATACTTGGAATAGCAGTTGAGGTATGTATGTTCGTATCATGAAGTCACCCTCTTAAGTGACCTTAAAGGTTTTTATAATCACAGTCCCTTGATCACACTATTAATTTCATTTTACAGTAAAAATGTCCCTGGTCATTCTGGCCAGGGTTTCCACAGGAGCAAACTAATGGACACTCAGCTCATTCAGAAAGCATTTATTGAAAGCCAGCTAGGTACTAAGCATTGTTCCTGCTATCAGTGACAAATATATAAAAAGAATTTAACATTTGAAAACACTGTCTATTTTGTACCAACTCCCATAGTCTTTGAAACCAACCCGTGAATTAGTACCACTAGCCCCCGTAGGCAGAGCCGTGAACCCCAAGCTGGTGTTCTGCTCACGTCTCCTCATGTCCTTGAAGTGAGAAACGGCACATCACTGGTTTGATGCCTGTTCGGTGCCAGGCCCTGAGTTGGGCACGTTCCCTGCGACCCCTTCATTCAGCCCCAGGACGAGTCGCTGGTTGGCTGCGTGTGGGAGGACACGGGGGGTTCTGCCTGCTCAACTCACATCTGGTAGGCAGACTCTCTACTGACCCCTGGGTCCATCTCCCGGCTGACGCAGCCGCAGGAGCAGCTGCCTCCCGCACGCCCACCATTTCTGTATCACTCACTCGTCCACCTGTCTGTGCGCCCAGAGCCTGAATCAGTAGGTCTCTGAACCACCTCCCAAGGGCAGGTGTGCTTCCCCCGCCCCGCTGTCCGGACTCTGGCTACGATCCACCACGTCTCCACCCAGACACTGAGCCTCAGTCCACAAGCGGCGGTTTCAAGGAACTTTTATTTATATCCTGGTATTTTAGCACATTGTCTTCCCTGCCAGCAAACACAGTTTTCTGGTTGTCTCTTTGGAGAGTTACAGACACCCAGTCCTCTGCTTTTACAGATTCCTTTCGGTTTTATGGCTCTGATCTCTAAACACCATTCTGGCCAAGGCCAGAGGCTCCCCCATACAGCACGCTTATTCCTGTAGTGAGAGCCAGACAGTGCACTAGCCACTAGCGAGACACAATTGCCCCAGTACACTTAATGGTTCTGGAGCACTCTCAAGAAGATGAAGTTTCATGGCACAGTGATTGTAACCGTAGGAGGTTACTATGGATACCTCAAAATAAAAGCAATTCATTGATATGCGAATTAAAGCATCGAAAGTTTACTTCTTTACCTTCCAAGTTCTCAAGAGCTATCTTATTAGTGAGAGAGATAACAAGGGGAAAGAAATATGAAGCTGTGTCTTTGACAAATATCTTAACTTTTAAATACGTAATAAGTAAATTTATGAAGGAGATTTAGTTTTATGAAGGTAAAGTTAATATGGATTCTTAAGAAGGAAATCCTTTGAGAGATCACTCGCACAATGCAGAAAGGCTCGTGGGAGCACTTCTCTAGCGTCAGTGAAGCAGAGAATGAAAACACAAATGCCATGAAATGCTATCTCTCAAGGAGAACTATGTGGAAGTTTTGCTGTGTTGCATTTTTTTAATAACGCAAAACACCCTGCAGACCGAGCGATGAAATGTCTCGGGAAATAGAGCAGCACTTGTTCAAATATTCAGAATCTGTGTGCAGATCATTTAAGAAGCGTTTTCATCACAGGCAGTTAAAGCTACCACCCGCGTTCCCAACGTTTCCGTTACGTTATGAGTCCCACCGCGTGCCCTGCACAAAGATGTTCCTTTGGGCTCAAGAGGATATAAAAGTAAAAATAATTCTCTACTCCTGGAGAGACTTTTCTTGGCTATAAATCTCAGATCCTGTTTTATTTAAGGACACATCAGCCACGTAGGACCCCCTTGCTTTGCACACACCTTTCTTCTTCCCCATCTTCCTTCCTTTGCACAAACCTTTCTTTCCTTCTCCTTTGAATGTTGTCCTCAAGCTTGAGTGGAATCAGATGTCCGTCTTCTCTGAGTCCTTCCCTGAGTCCTCTGAGCAATACTCGTTTCCCACCCCGTGCTGTGCCCCCCCCATAGGGGCGCCTCTCCCACGTGCACCGGACGGAGGTTTACAGCTCATCTCCCCTCTAAGGCCATTTCTGGGAGGGCTGATCTGGTTGCATTTCTTATGGAACCTCCTGCCTGCAAGATACCTGGCATCTTCTAGGCCTTCATCAAAGCTGTGCGGATGGTGGATGGTGGATGGAAGGGTGGGTGGGTGGGTGGCTAGAGAGAGGGATGGACAAGCCAGCAAGTTTCAGAACCATCTTCCATGTGGAAATGAGGATTCAGACTTGGAGAGGTTAGTGAGACGTAGGAACAAGAATGGATTATAATGTCATTTGCAGCACCATGGACAGACCTAGAGATTATCATACTAAGTGAGATAAGTCAGTCAGAGAAAGACAAATATGACATCACTCATATGTGGAATCTAAAAAAATGACACAAACTTATTTACAAAATAGAAAGAGACTCACGGACATAGGAAGCAGACTTGTGGGGAACCGAGGAAGGAAGGATAAATTGGGAGTTAGGATTGGCAGATACCAACTACTATGTACAGAATAGATAGTCAGCAGGGTCCTACTGTATACACAGGGAACTATAGTCAATGGCATGTGGTAAACCTGTAATGAAAAAGAATATGCATATATATATGTATATGTGTGTGTGTATGTATGTGTGTATATGTGTAACTGAATCACTGTGCTGCACACCAGAAACTAACACAACATTGTAAATCAATTACACTTCAATTAAGAAAAGGAGAAAAAGAATGAATTATAAAATGTTTAGTTTTTTTAATTTTAATTTTTTGTAGTTTTCTTCAGTGTCTGGATCAAGCATATTTTACTCTTTAATTTAGAAATACAATTTAATTAAATTTATGATGAATAAAACCAAATTAAAGTTTCAGGAATAGAATTAAGTTGAACAAAGTCCAGAACATGAATCTTCCGGGTCCTCCCTCCATCATAGGGGTCTACCACAAGGTAGAGTCAGCTTTTAATTTCTATCAATTGTTTTTCCCTTAAATGTTTCAGTGCTATTTCATCACAGATGTATGGACCATTTCTGATACTAATGAATGACCTTCTTTTCCCCTTTTAGGATATCTGTAAAGCCCTGTGGTGCCACCGGATTGGAAGAAAATGTGAGACTAAGTTTATGCCAGCAGCGGAAGGCACTACTTGTGGGCATGACATGGTAAGAAGCTAATCTTAGGTACATGCATCATAGGCTGATGTCAAGCTTTCAACCCATGCTTCTTTCCTCCTCTTTTTGCCGGAGATTAAGGTCTTGCCTCATGCAGAAAGAATTCAAGAACAAGGCATAGTAAGGTGAAAGCACTTCTATTTAGAGAGACACACACTCCATAGACAGTGTGGTCCACCTCACTCAGAAGGGAGAGCGGCTCAGGAGATACACACTCCACAGGGAGAGCGCGGGCCGTCTCAGAAGGCGGGAGAGAGTGACCAGGAGGTGCAGGTTCTTAGTTTTTATGGGCGTGGCAATATCATAGGCCAACGAGTAAGAGGATTATTCCAACTGCTTTGGGGAAGGGGCAGGGGTTTCCAGGGACTGGGTCCCCGCCACCACATGTTGACCGTTCATGGTCCGTCCAGGAACTGTCACGGCACCTGTGGGTGCGCCATGAGGCTCAAGGTCAACTGGAAGTCGAATCTCCCGTCGTCTTGGTTCTAACCAGTCTGTCCTGTCCTCAGTGGTGTGTCCTTCCTTCCGTGGTTGTGCCCTGCCCCCTTGCCTCCTGTCTCACTCTTGCCTTGGTATTTTTATCTCTTTCCATATCTACACCCATGTCAAAAAACTGTGCCTAATTTACACTGATACTATGCAGAGGACTCCTGTTCTCGCCTTTCCAATGATGAGCTGTCTGGACTTAATCGACAGAGATGTCAGGCAACAGGTGACGGCTGAATCTGTTTAATAGGGGGAAATGTTAAACCCTTGACCATCTTTTAGTCGTGTAAAGAGCCAGCTTACGTAGTTCTGTTAAAGTCACAAAGCATTGATTTAAAGACTGGAGTCAACTCTTTTGACCTATTGTTGCTCCCGTGGAAAAAAGAGACATTCTACAGCAGGGAAAAGAAAAAATACATGAGATGGCAAGTTTATTACTAACTGGTAGATAATGGTGATTTTTGTCATCAAAACTTAGAAATAAAGTATCTTAACGTGCAAGAGTACTGTTTTAATCCTTGTGATTCAGCCTGTGGTTGTACTTTTTTCCAGCACGTAAGAGGCTCTTGATAAAGACAGAAATGTATCAGAACCAAACTGTCACTGTAACGACCTTCATTCCATGTGTCTGATGCTTTGATGATGTAAAAGAGAAATGCGTGCCTGAATGCCACCGATCTAGGACGTTTAAAGTCCTAAGTAAATATTTCCCACCACAAACACATTGAAATGTGAGTGCAGATAGAATGGATTCAAAGTATTAAGAAACAAAGCTGACGTATGTGTGAAATTATTGCAACGCTGACTGAGGAAATGAGGTAAATTCGCTTAAGAATCGCGCCCAGCAACCACTCATCCTACACGTGTTAATGTGCTTTCTTTTCAGACTTTCACAGGGTGGGACTGATACGTAAATCCTTCTAGTGATGGAGGCAGCAGTAAATTCATCTACAACAGAAAAGTCTAATAAAAATGCTTTAGTTTCTCAAAAGAGAAAAGGGATTTATCGAGCTATGACGACGTGGAAACACCAATTAGCAAAGGATACCAGGGGATTCACCTGAGTGTTAAGCTTAGGTGATCACGGCGTTCTGCACATAAGTGGTTAAAATTGACCAAATTTTGCAAATCTGATAGTTTGCCGAATTACACCCATTTGGCAGCCCTCGCGCCACTGCCCTGAGTGACGGTTCACAGGGACAGCGCTTGGCCCCCCAGGCGCCCGACTTCGCTTCCGTCACCTGCTGTTTCCCTGGAGGATGTTCTTGTTCTGTTGTAGTTACCTTGAAGGCACAGGTGAACTGATTTTCATTGATGGTTTCTGTTATTTTTCCCTTGTGTTTCCAAATGGAGCTTTTACCTTCACAGTGAAGAGAATTAGAGCATGTTTTTAAGAACGCCGGAGTAGGTGCCTACAAATTACATTAAGCGTTCCGCCCAGGGTCACGTGGCGTGGCTGCCCGGTGGCCGCAGTGGGACAAGCGTCAGAGGCTCCTGTAAAAGCTCCCTGTGGTGTGAGCTGTGTGTCTTCCTGTCTCGCTGGGGCACAGGTGTCCGTGAGGTCTGCTGACTTGGCAGCGAGCATTAGCAGAAGGCAGCATCCCGGTGCTTCGGGATGTTCCAGGGCAGCGCGTGTGCTCCGGATGACCAGGGACAACTGTAGTACTGCTGTGCACCTTTCTCCTGCGTGGGGACCTGTTTTCCAACACCTGCCGCCAACACTGAGGCTCCATGTGGTGGGCATGGGGGTAAACCCAACCAACGGTCAGTGCATCTTTCAGTGGCAAGTGATGCACTTAAAACATGATATACATTCAATCCTCACAAGCACCCTGAGAGGGTGACCCTACTGCCACCCCCGCTGTGCACCCAAGAATTCTTCAGGGAAAGGACGCCGGGCTCCTCTGCGCTCACGCCGTGAGACGCCCAGAACAGTGGCGTCAGGACCGCCGCCTGGGTCGCACCAAAGCAGATTCTGACTCTTTAATAATCCCGAATGTAAGATTAAACGAGCCCTCACTTTGCAATGACGTTGCCCGTGGTGCGAGGCACGTGGCCTCATTCCACGGGTCTTCAGAACTCAGTCTGGTGGTTTCCGCCATCCTGAGTGTTCACAGGAGGACAGGCAGGCTCAGGGCCCCCGAGTGACTTGCCCCAGGCCACTCACCTGGCTGACCTGACATGCGGGGCTGGTTCTCCACTCCGCAGGGTCGGTTTCCGTGCCTGGCACTGCTGCTTCCCCGGGGGCACCAGGCTGGGGTGTGAGAGCGGGTTGTGCGAGCAGCATCACGGGAGGGATGTGCGCCTCATCCTGCCGTGGCTCTTCCTAAGATAAAGCCTTTCCTTATTGGCCACACCCTCCATCAACTAAATATGAAAGTGTGATAAACGTGGGATGGGCCTCAGAAACATATCTGGTGTTTCAGTGGACATTTTGTGTGTCTGTTTAACACAGGGGTCTTACCCCGACCACCTCACTGACGGGCTCCACTGGTCTGCTATCTGCGTGAAATGATACTAAAAATTGTGTGTGTGCAGGTTCATGTTTGTGTGTCTGTGTGCACCTGTGCATCCCCCCGGCCTCCCGGGAGAAGCTGTAGCTCTTTCTTCTCAGATTCTCAAAAAAAAATTTTTAAGGAATTTTTTAAAGTTAGTCATTTCGGGATACTCTGGCCAAAATGGTGGGGAAAATGCATCTGCAAGACTATTAATTGCAGCAATAATTATCACAGCAGAAGACTGGAAATGATGCAGATGTCCCCTAGCTGGGGACTGGCTGGAAACGCATCTAACCGAATGTCATGTAGCTGCAACAGAGGGACAACGGATGTGTCTGTATGACTCTGTGGAATGAGCTACAGAACATGTTGTTAAATGGAAACGCGGGATGGAGAAAGATGTGTGTAATAGGCTGTCATTTATGAAAGAAAAGGAAATACTGGTCTATATAATTATTTGATTATATTAAAAAGGGATAAACTCTAAATTGGGGGGGAAGTGTGTAACCATTTTCTGTAATTTTAAAACAAAATTACATAAGATTTTATTATAGTAATTCATACATATCCAAAGCAAAATGAAACATTTAGGCTTTAAGTCAAGTTGTTGGCTTAACTGTGACCGTGACAGAAGAATCATCCAGGTGACTTTAGAACCTAGCTCTTTGTGCATCTCAAGTAGGCTGCCTCCAGTAGACAGTGGGCACCACAGGGAATCTTACACCGTTTTGAGCAGTCACATTGATACCAAGAAGTTAGTTTTGCTCTTGTAAAACCATCAATTTTTGCAGATTCCTACTTGGTGCTGCTGGCGGAATGCCAGCATCCGTTGGTGGGAAACCAGTGCGGCTGAACACAATGCCAGGTCTGTGTAGCTTTCGCATGTGGTGGAGGTGAGGAAACCACGTGGATTTTAGCCGAATTCACATCACTGAGCACACCTCTAGAGAAAGGAGAACTGATAGCATCGCCAGGCTCAGAGGGACAGGTGGAGCTCTGTGCAGGCTGTTTCATCTCCTCAGAAAGCCATGTGACCCCTGACATGCATCCATTATAACCTCCAGGCTCCCAGCCCAGGTGCTTTGGAGCAAAAGCACAGAGCCCCGGCCAGAAATGACAAGGTGTTGAGGCCACGGAACCTCCAGCTGGACTTTTCCACCTGACAGTCAGCCTGCCCCGAAAGTCACATATGAAGGGTGTGTTGTTTCCAGGAAAGGTTAGAGTTCACTCACCCGATGGGTGACCCATCAGCCTGAAACTTCCTGCATCACGACTCACCTGCTACGTTCCAGCCGCTCAGACAGACACCTGAAAACAATTCTCCTCTCCCTCTTCCCTTCATGGGGATTTGTAGAACAAGGCTAGGTTTGAACAGAACAAAAAGGAGCAGCATTGAATGTATTTTTATTATGTGCTCCTGATGGCGGAGATGGAGAGATCTGCCTGTTTTACCAAACGCCCCAGTGCTGAGCATTACAGCAGCAATAAACCCACTGTCTGCTCATCAGTCATAATCGCTTTTTCCTTTTTTAATTTTCAGTGGTGCCGCGGAGGGCAGTGTGTGAAACATGGTGACGAGGGCCCCAAGCCCACCCATGGCCACTGGTCAGACTGGTCTCCCTGGTCCCCCTGCTCCAGGACCTGCGGAGGAGGGGTGTCTCACAGGGACCGGCTCTGCACGAACCCCCGGTGAGCACCCCCGACCCCCCCAACCCCCACCAACCAGCCACCTCTCTGCTACGAACCTTCCTAACAGCATGTGGACGTGAGCTCGGTGATAATGATCCTGTATGTCCTTAAAATCTCTCTTTCCTTTCCCCCGTTGACGTAAGGAACTCTAAGTCGAAAAGCACTTTTACTCAAGCATTTCTTGTACAATGATGTCTCTTTGATATAATTTAATTACTTGACCACAGCAGAGTAATGGACCCAACGGGGATATTCAGGAGCTGGATTTTAACCACGTTTACATGAAATACCAAAGTCCTGCCTAAAATAAGGAAATAAATCATGCAAAAAACGTGGAGAACACGCATCGATAGATAAGCATCAATGAGAACAAGTGAAAGGACGGGCTTTTCATCAGACACATTGACCGTCGCAACATGCGGTTTTGCTGTGCCCCTGCAGAAGACAAGGATGCTGAGAGCAGTCCCCACGGCAGTGAGCGAAGGGGTTTAAACCTTCCTCCTGCACCTACGTTTCTTTACCTTCAGCCATACGGCATAAGCACGGCTATTTACTTCAGCCCTGTCTTTAGTCCTGTGCCGCGGCAGGGCGCTCTCTCACCCTGCTGTCTCCGCGAGAATTGTAGGGGGTTCGAGGGGTGTTGGCTGGCACTTCCAGCCAGTGGAAGATGACTGGCTCCTCTGTTCCCACTGGGTGTCACAAGGAAACTCATAGCGGGGAGAAGGTGCCGTCCGGGAGGCGAAGTAGTTGCACTGCAGGCTCAGTTCTGCTTTATGGCGGCTCCTTCCGTGGTCACCCCCTCCTGTATAGACTCAGAGAAGAGCGACGCTCACCCTGCCTTCCACCGAGTGATGAGCAAATCCGTGCGAACTCGCTCGCCAGGTTCAGACCTGTTCTACTAAGGTTGCAAATGATACACTCCATAGAAAAGGGAAACACAATGCGTATCATTAATGTGTAAGAAGGTGACAGTGCCTTCGCAAAGATGCGCTTTTCTTAACTTGGTGTCTGTAAGTGGTTTAACAGCATCTGTTCCATCTTCCAATAAAGGAGGCGCGAGTAGCTCTTAAAACATCAGGTTTCTAACTGCGACACATACGTTCCAGACCATCAAATGGAGGGAAGTTCTGTGCGGGCTCCGCTCGAGCTCTGAAGCTTTGCAACAGTCAGAAATGTCCCCATGGCAGCGTCGACTTCCGCGCCCTGCAGTGCGCCGCGTACAACGGCAAACGGTTCCGAGGACGGCACTACAAGTGGGAGCCCTACACCCACGTGGAAGGTAGATCTCAGGCCCCGCTTCCTTGGGCTTTGCTGTCTTTTTCTTTTTTTAACTGAAGTATAGTCAGTTACAGTGTGTCAGTTTCTGGTGTCCAACATAAGGAGTTTGAGATTTGCAAATGATAACCACTATAAATAAAAATGGACTCTACTGTCCTGACTCTTTAAAGAACCACCTGGTCGATAGTGTGGGATCCAGAAAGACTGAATATTGCCATGTGAGGGCAATGTCACTGGTTCCTCTCGCGTTGTTAGTCTGATTCTGCCGGCCCTGTGGCCACTGGCCTCTTACCTAAACTTGACAAGTTGTGAGCTCGGGAGAAAGAGAGTGAGACCATGTGTGCAGAACACCATTAAATCTTCAAAGCAGTGATAAGACACTCAGTGTAGATGCTTTGTTGATAAAGAATCAATTCTTTTTTTAATTACAAATCACCGAAGTTGATGGTGATATGGCTATAAGCATGTCACCCACTGAACACTTAAAATGGCCAAAGAACGAAAGAAAAATGTTTGGATCTTTTGGAAAATCAAACAGTATGCTATATTTGGAAAGTCTATCTATAAATTATAAATGCAGATGTTCATTTGTACCATATGTAAGATTTTACTATACAGCTAGAGGGAAATATGTATTATTCTTATGATTATAATAGCTTGAACTCAGTACCTTGAGTAGGATAATTTGAGGATAAATTCAGAGAACATTTAATCACCTCCTTGTTTGAGGTTGAGAACACTGTCCAAGAACCACTTGAGAAATACGTAAGTTGGGCCAACTTATCTGACATTTACTTTCACCATCACAGTACATAGAATGTTTTCATGGTGAGAGATTTATCAAATTAGTAAAGTCTGGAAGGAAAATTTACGCAGTTTTATGCAAACCCTTTCTTGTTGTGTTGTTACTCCTGAACTCAGTAAAAATTAAGCCAGTGAGAAACGAGTAGGCGGGAGAAAAAAGTAGGAAAAAACTTTGAAATTGGGGTCAAAAATACGTGTGATAGCCTTGACTTTGCTTGTCTTCAGTAAAGAAATGCACTGATCACAGAAGCACGTGTTAAATTTGGTTCTGAGCATTATTCAATTGGGTCTCTTATTCCGCACAATCAAGAAAATATCTGTACATGAGTTTTGGGCCAGTGAAGACTCCTAAGGCAGGTAAATTTTTATTATCAACTGTTCCCTTCTTTACCAAGAAGAGAACAAACGGGAAAACAAAGTTTCTACAAAAGTTCAGAATAGTCATGTAAATGATACATCCTTGAAATGGATTCCCGAGAGGAAGGGAACTTGATCTCCAGCCTCAACTATGTAAGGAGGCCTGAATTCTCTGCGTATCAGTACTTTTTGACAATCCATTGTATGGATAAAAACACAGTGCTCTCTGGAGATTTCATCCAAAAGTTACTCCCTTTATCAGTTTAAAAATAGTGTGCAGTTTAGGAAATGTGTTTAGTAATTTCGTGATGATTTTAATGGTTTTATTACAGCTTATTTGTAACAGTTTTGTATATTGCTACAAAATGATAGTGACTTTCTGCATTTCTACAAGAGAGCAGTTAATGGTACTAGTGATCTGTCAGGATAGTACATTGCAGTTCAAGTCGACAGGTGCTTACTGGATGCCTACTGTGTGCAACCACTGTATGCAGGACAAGGACCAATCAAGGACAGAGCAGAGTGAAATTTAACAGTGAAGCTTTAAAAAAAAAAACAAAACAGAAAATTAAAGGAGAAACTCCAAGCCTACTGAGGCAATTTGAAAAAATGTCTGCAATGTGTTATTGTGTGGGAGTTATTTTATGGGCAAAAAAGAAAAAAATAGTCTATCTAAAATTTAGAGCAAAAATGATCAGCGCTTAAGTATCTTTCTCATTTGTGTTTGTGTGTGTATTTCTTTTTAAGATCAGGACTTATGCAAACTCTACTGTATCGCAGAAGGATTTGATTTCTTCTTTTCTTTGTCAAATAAAGTCAAAGATGGGACTCCATGCTCGGAGGATAGCCGTAATATTTGTATAGATGGGATATGTGAGGTAATAACGATCATTCATTCGTTCAACAAACATCTCCCGACAGTCTGCTTTGGGCCAGGCACCCTGTAAGGGGCGAGAGAGACCAGACATTTAAAACGTACCCTTTCCCTCCAAGTCACTGTCCAGCAGGGGTGAAAGCGAGCTGGAGACGCACAGGGGTTTGTGGCAGCGGAGGTGTGAACAGAGCACAGGCAGAAAGGAGGAGCTGGTCCTCTCTCAGATGTGGACCTGGGAGATTTGCAGGGCCCCTCAGGGAAGGGAGCTCGATCGAGAGGGTGAGCTGGAAGAGGGGTATGGGCGGAGCAGGGAGGGGACACGGTGCTGCAGGAAATCACGGGCTGGTAGGACCCGACTCCATCGTCACTGGGAGGCAGGCAGGAGGCAGGAGCTGGGGGATGCCGAGGGAGCCCAGTGGAGGGGGAGACCCTCTCAAAGGGCCGTTTGCAGCCAGGACAAGGGATTGGGGTTTTTTTATCCTCGTGTCCCTGGGGACCAGACCAGCGAAGTAGCAGGGTCAGATTGCAGTAGTGGGGTCAGATTGCAGTAGCCGGGTGGTGGAACAAGTAAATCAAACAGGGACAGCTGAGAGCCAGAGGCCACTATGCGGGGGTCTCAGGAAGCTGGGCGGCCTCCCTCTGTTGGAGAGGGACTTAGGACACAGGCTGGGAAGGGTTGGCGGCTCAGTGAACACACAGCTCTGAGTGGGTCGCCACGTGCAGAAGGGATGGATTTTATTGCAGACAAAGGGAGGGTGTCACATGCAGTGATCAGATCCACTGCAGGTAAATCACAGGCTTTCCAATGAAGAAGTTCCTCAATATCCATCTTCAGTGGAGTCCAAAGACCTTGGTCCCAGGCCTAAATTTCTCGAAGGTGTAGGACCCTGACCACGGTCAAGTTGAATCACCCTCTAAGACCCTCAGTGTAATCGTTTGAGTGCATGAAGATTAGATTAAATGATTCTGTTAAGATCTCTTTCAGTTTTAAAATACTCAAAGCTCTACCCTTGGTGTCTATTCGTTGATTTGTTAAATATGGCATTCTTTTTAGGAATTCTTAATAATATAGTGTCGCAGCCCCTTATTTGTAATTCTGAAACCCAAAAAGCTGTGAAGTGGAAAGTTTATTTGGAGGCAAAATATAACCTAAATTTATTTGGTGGCAAAACTACCTTGAACTGATGTGGGACCGTGAGTGACGTTTTTCGCGCTCAGTGTGGAAATGTGTGCATTTTAAAAACCTCATTGCTGCCCCAGGCTCTGCTGGGACTCTCACATTATAAGCATAAGATGTTAATTACCTTCCTAAAATCGGAAAAGCTCTGCATTCTAAAGTGTATCTGCCCTTGGATTTCAAACAAGGGAGGGTGGACTAGAGTTACTTCCCGTCCGAATGGGATTTTTGCATATCTAGACAATATTCTTTGTTAGGAAATGTGCAACTAGCAAGCATCATGGAATTTACAAAGAGCTGCTAAAACTGGAAGACAGGAACCAAACGTGCCCGTGACGTAGTTACTGCCGAGAATAATCGTCCGGGGCCTGTACTCCTCTTCGCCTCTGCACAAGGCGAGTCAAAAGCCCGAGGTGTGCTCCCGCGGGCCCTCGTGACGCCACAGTGCTTGTCACTTGTGCTCAGTGCCTTAAGCCAGCCTGAAACGTACCTGAGCCTCCAACACGGCAGCCTGATAGATTTCATTCGGGGCTCGAGGTAGGACGGTTGTGTAGCCGTGGGAAGAGGACAGGTTCTGCCGGCCCCGGCTCTCGTCCTCCAGATCCAGGTGTGGGAGGCAGCCTCCCAGTGCACACCGGGTGTCCGTGAATATTCGTTCACTCTCTCGTGTCGGTGAAACTTCCAAGGGTCCAGGGAACAGGTGTGTGACTTCCCTCCTCTTGTCCCTTCTTTCATGACTGGCACATGGCCTGGCGGGTCCCGCAGAGAGTGGGCTGTGACGACGTCCTGGGATCTGACGCCGTGGAAGACGCCTGCGGTGTGTGCCAGGGAAATAACTCGGATTGCACGACGCACAAGGGCCTGTACGCCAAGCAGCCCCGCTCCAACCGTGAGTCCGCCCGGCGGCCTGTGGGGCCCGGTGGGTTGGAACGAACCGCTTGACGGGCCAGCGGGACACGGAGTGAAAGCGCGGGCAGGCGGAGTCCTGAGAGCCCCACGCAGACTCCTGCCCTGCCTCGCCTCCCAGACCTTCTGTCGTGATGGGCAGTGGTTGCCAGGTTATTGGAATTAAAATGGTTCTTAGAAACAGTGGAAGTAACAACAGCTCTGCTCCAATTGAAAAATGAATTAATTTTTTTTTAAGTGGTGATGAGGTGAAATCATGCCACCATGTTTGGCATGCTCGCGGACGCGGGGCACTGTGGACGGACTTCTGACCAGGAGAGATTTTAAGGATAAAGTCAGAATTTAATCTGAGCTCAGGCTTGCTTTTTGTTTTCAAAACAAAACAAAACAAAAAAAACACCAAGCTGGGTGGTAACAAAAATGCATAGAGAAAGAGCCTGGATAAAAGTGCCCCACAATATGGTGGTATTATGGATAGCTTTGTTTATTTTTTATTTTTGCTTTTTTTTAAATTGAAGTATAGTTGATTTACCATGTTTCGTGTTTTTAGGTTTTCTTTTTTTATTCTGATTTTTCTACCATGAGCATGTTGACACTTACAATCAGGAAAAATTATTTTTAAAGGACTTTTAACTTAAAAAAGGAAAAAGAAGTTATTTATGGGACCCGTGCAACTGATTGCCAAAAGAGATCTTCTCCAGGTTCCAAATTCTGCATCTTGAGGTTTAGTGATGGAGAACCAGAGGTACCCAGGGATCGGCATTTTTGAACGAAGTACCACACGCCCCCTCCTTTTTCTTTACTCCAGAGTATTATCCAATGGTCACCATTCCTTCTGGAGCCCGGAGCATCCGCATCTACGAAATGAATGCATCTACCTCCTACATTTCTGTGCGGAATGCACTCAAAAAGTACTACCTGAACGGACACTGGACAGTGGACTGGCCCGGCCGCTACAAGTTTTCAGGAACTACCTTCGACTACAGACGCTCCTACAAGGAGCCCGAGAGCTTGACTTCCGCGGGGCCAACCAACGAGACGCTGGTCGTGGAGGTAGACCCCAGCCTCTTGCTTTCAGGGCTTGGATTTCGGGTCTTAGGGAGTTTTGTGGGTTCAAGGCTATTAGCACAAGTTTACATACACAGACAATTGTTTGCAATTAGACGGCATCTCAGAAGCAAGACTAATCACTCCATAGAGTGAATGGGCCAATGGACTTGTTTTAATCATCTCTGAAAACATCAGATGCGTGATGGAATTCATGTTTATGCGCATCATGCAGTTCCCATTTTTGCATCTTTATCTGTGGATTTGGGCAAAAGTCCGCTTCTCTCCTGTAAGCTCTGTGGCTGTGAGAAGCAGTCACTGTTGGCTCCCTGGCTGCGCCTGCTTGGGTGGGATCAGCATTCCGCTAAGTCCTGTGGAAATGGGAGATGAGAACGCATTACACGGGCCCGGTGCCGGGCGAGGGGTCACACACTCCCCTCCTAGGCAGCCCTTCTGTGTTCTCGCTGGAGCTGCAGAGGCTCACAAGATCCAGACGGGCGTCTTCTAACAAAGTAATTTGTCTCCATGGGACTGGGCAGATGGCTGCAACAGGCGGCGGACGTGCAAATTCTCCACTTTTGCATATTTCTGTGCACATTTAAAGAAACGACTTGGTTCAGAAGCTGCCCCTCAGCCCTCACCTAAGTGTGCGGGTGCGAGCCGCCCAGACGCCCTCCACCCGCTCCCCTTCCTGCAGCCCCGTCCTGCAGTCCCTGTGTCTTCCTGGGAGCCGTCTCATCACACCTCCCGCCTCCACCTCCCCTCGGCCTCGAGCTGCCCCCGTCCCTTTATAACCCCGTTCACCCTGAATCCTTGCCGGGTCATTTCTCTCCCACCATGGGGGCATTCAGCTTGATGCTCCTGGAGAGAGAGAGATGCGTCAGGGTCGAAAGTGATCGCAGCTTATTGGGACTTTCCTGGCGGAAGAAGAGTTAACGGGGATTCAGAGTGTCAGGTGGCAGCTGCTCAGTGGCCGTGCCGTGCGGCCACGTGTCCGG